AGGGCTGGGCCGCGCCCCTCGCCTGCGGCGTGCGCAGCCTGGCCAAAGGCACACCGCGGGCGCGGTAGTACAGTGGAGCACCGTGCTACCGCCTATGGAACTGGGAACTGGAACGCTGTTTGGTAGTACTACACAGAATGGATTGAAACCGGCATTTATCGGGTACACGTGATCTGGCATTTGGGAAGGTTCCTCTTCCAAAATTCCTTAAAGCAAAACAGTTTTCACTAATAGCTTGATTTTAAAAAGAGGTCAAGCAAAGCATTTAGACAGGTGTTCCCTTAAGTGCCTTATTTTCACCACATCAATTAATTTGGGGGCAAATACGATGCACTGCCCACCTTGTGCAGCACATAACGCAAACAGAAGGAAAGCAGGATCACGTCCCAGCAGAAGGAAGGATCATTGCCTGATTCTCCTAACATTTTGCAGAAGAAAGAAAACCAAAGTTGATCCCAGACCAGAGTACAAAGCCCAGTCCTTTGCCAGACTGCTTCAAACCACAACAAATTTCTGCCAAAGTAATTTTGAGCCTATCAAAAAGCATATATGCCCCTATTACATGCTGTACAGGTTAGTGAGATAATCGCTGTTAATAGTGGGTTTTCAAGTTAGGAACAGAAACAAAGCATAGGGATGCTTCACAAAGCAACAGATATTTTCAAGTTAATATCTGGAAAACAACTTGCCTGATTTTTCAGTTTTATTAAGAGAAGTTTTCAGCAACAGAGGATACTGTAAGCAGCCTAGGCTCAGAAAAAGTCTATTGAAATAGATTTCTCAAATGATCCTTACTTTCACCCAAGTTGCTTCAAATTTATTCCACTGTGTGTACAAGAGAGCTTGAATAGTGTTTGCTGAGAAAACCTCAACTACATATTTTAAGCAACCCTTTTTAGATAAGTTGGGTGTAGAGTTTCAAAGGGTGCCAAACACACTTAAAGCATGTATCTTTTTACCCTTTTTTCCAACCCTTTTTTTTTTACTGTAACTATAAAGAAATAATTCTGCCCACAGCATTTTAACTTAGCTTTAAAAAACCCCATAAATACATTTATGTGTCTGTATATAGGGTCTATATGCAGATACAGCTATGACTATTAGGAACTAAAAAAAATAGGGTTGGAATAAAATCTGTAATGCTATTTTTTGTTAGTTTGAAATTCACAGCTTGCTTAGATCTTCACACTAATCTTCTGCAGTTCTCTATTCACAGAGTTTTTTTAGATGGCTGATAGTCTTGCATGTTATTGCCATCCCAGTAAAGGTAAAAGCATCTTTGCAGGAATTAAAGCAATACCAATGTGCTTTCCACAGGAATGGAAACAACCTTCTGGGATCTGTGATGAGCATTATCTTCTGTGAAGGATGTGGGGATCCCCTAAAAGGCATTTACATTTGGGTGCATTAGGCTACCATTTCCCCAAAATAATTCACAGACAGATGAGGCTTCGGAGTGAAGCAGGTATATGACATGACCACTACAAACAGTCCAAAACCAGCTGGGAAGTAGCCATTTAAAATGATCCACCAAGAACCACCAAGTGTCAATGGTTCAACCAAACCACACAGTGTAGAAATTGGGAGATAGTTTTGTTGGCAGGGAGTATTATACCTAGTAGCAGTTACTTCAGGATGATGTGTCAGCTTAATGCAGACAAAGTCTTGGCTAGTGTGATGCGAGAAGGGGCAAACGCACGTCAACTGTTTGTGGCTTTCATTTGCTGCTGGTAGCCAGGGAAGGTTGTTAGGTGTACATAGCTCCACAATTAACCAAACCGGATGACGTAACTTAGGTTGTCACCTACGGCTCAAGAAGAGGGTGAATATAAAAACCTTGCAAGAAGCACAAATCAGTTGGAGGTAGGTTAATAGCAGTAAGCGTAAACAACTAAGGAAGAAATGGTTACTGTATTGTACAGTTGATTCTTATATACTGTTTCCAAGATGCATGAGTAATTTATTGATGATACCTTGCCTTTCCTTCACTTACATGCCCAAAACAACCACCACCTGAGGCAAGCCTTCTCTTCTGCATGAAGTTGAGGCTGCGTGTCCTACCATTCAAATGCAGACTCCCCAACTTCAATCATTTCCGATTTTCCAGTGTAAACAACTGAAATACAAATATTTTCTTTCACATCAAATGCACATTTTATGCTGTCTCCGTAGATGCTGAACAATTTGTCAAGTCTATTGTTAAAAAAAATCAGTTATTGTTTAAAAAAAAAATTGTTAAAAAAATCAGAACATAATATAAAAGTTACAGTACAACAATTCCCTGCTCTACCAGGTCTATTTCTTCCTAGCAAGGAAGGAAAACTTCAGACATGAATTGGGGTTGGTTTTTTTTTTTTAAATGGACAAGTTAAAGCTTTTTTCCTTTTCTTTTCCAAAGGAGAGTGTAAAGAAACCTTTGCATTGTAATTTACTCCAGATTTCATCAGTTTCAGAACACCAAAATTTCCAAGCTGAGAACACCAAAGTTATAACCAAACAGAACTCAGAGGCAGTGCTCTGCACGAAGAGTTGTATTTGCCATGTGCAGTCAGTGATGCTTCCAAAACAAAAGAGAAATAAAAAATAACAGCTAAGTTGGACACAGTTGTAACTATCTGAAAAGCACTATTTAATAAAAAGAAAAACCAAAGCAAGATAGAAAATTGACTGGATTTTAGTCAGATGCATGCCTCAAATGTGGACATGATTTGTTTTGGTTTTTTTAATAAGGTAACAAGATAGGCCAATGATTAAATGGTAAAAAACTGTAGGAGAAGCTTATTACAAATACTAAATTCAACTGCAGGTTACAGAATACTTGTTAAAGTCTGTTCTTGCACCAGAACTCCTGTCTAGGAGCCTGGCTTAGCATCTCTGGTATGACCAAACTTCAGTTTCATCCCTTGTTCCCAATCCTCTAAATTCAAACATAGCTATTTATTCCTCCTCCTGTCACATGTGAAGCCAGTAGCCAGAGCACTATGATGCAGGGAAAAAAAAAAAAATCTCACCCTTTTGCTAATTTCAGTGTGGCAGCAACCCTGTAATTCGGAAAGAATAACTGCAGAAGTCCTGCTAAGATCTGGCATATAGTCTAACACACTTTTTATTGAGACAGCATATAAACAGTCCTCTTAAGGTGTGCTTGCCTTTAATAAAACACCTAAAGGATTTAGTGTCAAAACACCAGAAATTCTGTACAGGTAAATTTCCACAAGCTTGTAACTTAAGTATGTTTTCAGGAAGTCTCTTAATACCAAGCATATTGGGTTTGCATGGCAAGGTTTTGGTAGCGGGGGCCGGGGGCAGGGGCTACAGGGGTGGCTTCTGTGAGAAGCTGCTAGAAGCTTCCCCTGTGTCTGATAGAGCCAATGCCAGCCGACGGACCCGCCGCTGGCCAAGGCCGAGCCCATCAGCGCCTCTGTGATAACATATTTAAGAAGGAAGAAAACCAAGTCAGAGCTTTTGCAGCCAGAGATAGAAGTGAGAAGATGTGAGAAACTTTGCAGACACCAAGGTCAGTGCAGAAGGAGGGGCAGGAGGTGCTCCAGGCGCCGGAGCAGAGATTCTCCTGCAGCCCGTGGAGAAGACCGTGGTGAAGCAGGCTGTCCCCCTGCAGCCCATGGTGGAAGGATGGAGCACTCTGCCTCTGAAGGTCTGCACCCCGTGGAAGGGACCCACGCTGGAGCAGTTCGTGAAGGACTGTAGCCTGAGGGAAGGACTCACGTTGGAGAAGTTCATGGACTGTTTCCTGTGAGAGGGACCCTAAGGTGGAGCAGGGGAAGAATGTGAGGAGTCGTCCCCCTGAGGAGGAAGGAGTGGCAGAAACAGTGTCTGTGTGATCAACTGACCGTGACCCCCATTCCCCGTCCCCCTGTGCTGCTGAGGGGGAGTAGGTAGAAATTGGGAGTGAAGTTGAGCCCAGGAAGATGGGAGGGGTGGGGGGAAATGTTTTAAGATTTGGTTTTATTTCTCATTCCTCTACTCTGTTTTGCTTAGTAATAAATTAGATGAATTTTCTCTCAAGTTCAGTCTGTTTTGCCTGTGATTATAATTGGTGAGTGATCTCTCCCTATCCTTATCTCGACCCACAAGCTTTTAGTTATATTTTTTTCTCCCCTGTCTAGTTAAGGAGAGGGAATGACAGAGCAGCTCTGGTGGGCACCTGGCCTCCAGCCAGGGTCAACCCACCAAGCCAACCCTCCTGTAAAAGAACAAGCTTCCCCAGTACAAGGGAGACAATCCAGCTTCTCATTAAGAGACATTTTTACAATTATACACACATTTTTGTAGATACATGTCTATTTTGAATGTATAGATATATATACACACACACGTGTCCTTTTTCATGATTTTGTTACCCATGACATGACATATATATGCACTCAAAAAAATACATTCAGGCAACTCAGAGAGCCCCCCTTGCAAGAACTTGTGCATTGCCCCTAGTCAGACCAAAAAGCATCTTGACAACAAAAAGCAGTCTACACCTTTCAAGAGCAGACTGTCGTTTCCCAAGCTTGCAAGTCAGTGATTAAAGCAACAGTTCCCAACTGTTGCACTGGCAGTCAAACACTTGTTTGAAAACACTACAACTGTGACACGATTCTGCAGAGTATGGATCTCAGTGGGGACCACAATGAGAACCACTAAGTTGAAAGATAAAAAACCCCAACTCTGTTTCTTTGCAATGTAAAACCAAGAATATTTGCATAACCAACTTCTCACTCAGCATTCAATGGAATATCTATCTCCTATTTATTGCAAATTTGAGACCGTGGTAACAGATGTCTTCCAATACATACAACAATTGTAACAATCTTTTAGATGAGATATATATGCATACATGGAAGACACCTTAAAAGCCAACAGATAAAACACTTACCCCCAAAGCTGGCAATCTTTGCGTGCAACTGACAGCAACCTTCAGTTTCCAGTCTGTTTCTCCATCGAGCTGGTCAGTTCGAATGAAACACGAACCTTGAAGTTATAAAGAAACATAAAACTATTTTTTTTTATCTCAAAAATTCAGTTTGGGTTAAAAAAAATTAGAAAAAAGAAAATAAAGCAATTTACAACCATTTCTAAATAAATGTGCTACATATTCCAAAATATGAATCTTTTTATATGTGTGCGCTTTCTTCCAGAAATGCTCCAGATATCACACAATAGCACAATTTTTCTGATAAAATTAACAATACGCCTATTTATGAACAGGGGAATCCTTTATTACAGATTTCTTAGTAGTTTCTAAACCAGTTTCTACATGTTATCAGAGATACAACTTCAGTGGCTGAAGTTGAAACAGGTTTAATTTTTTTTTTTCATTTTAGAATTGTGTCACTTCTACACTTCCAATAGAATAATCAACTAATGCCTGTGATTTTTGTCTCTTTGCAGGTATGACATCACATGAAGCTCCCCTGCTTATTGTCTCCTAGCTTCTTCGAAAAAAAATGTTAAAATAAATCCTTGACATGAATACCATTCAAAACAACATGAGTCCTAATGTACTATACTTAAATAATTTTGAATCATCTGTAATTGTCAAGGGTCCAAGGCTACAGAAACGTGTCAATACATGCAGAGTATTTAAGACACAAGGGAAGCTCAAGGTACAGGCTTATACATATTGAAGAAAATCAGTATACCTTACAGACAGATGACCAGTATTCAAGAAACAGAAAACTGATCGGTGCAGAGCCTCCCCCCGCCCCAGTAACTAGTTTGATAGATATCATCAAGTCTGGAGTATTACATAGGTTATTAAGGTAAGCTTCAAAAAAGACTGCACACGAACATTGAAATCTATTAAAAACATACACAATTAGCTATAATTTCCATCTAGTGTGAAGCCTTTAAAAAAAGTGGTAAAATTTTAGCAATACTCCTCACAATTGCAACACTAAAGAAACCTTAAATATTTCTGAAGTAGTAATTAAAACTTCCATTGTGCTACAGCCTAACAACTGTATGCACTATTGTTACTGTGTGCTATGGGTGTGAAATAAAAACAGATTTTTCTAGTTATTTGTAAATTTTAAACAATCTGTATAGACATACATGCATATATACTCTTAATTTCTTCTATGTTTCAACCAATCCAATAAAAAAAAATTAAGTAGTTTCATCACTAGAAGTGATATGGTAGCAATTAAACTGAAGGAAACACTGGCAAATGAGTTTAATCCAGGTTTGAGTCTTCTTACACAGACAAGACAACGATGTGCTACAAGCATTGAATCTAGTAGGCAATACATCAAGAAAGGGTATCTACCAGCAAACACAAAATTGAGAGAAATTCTTTCATAGGCCACGTGGACCCTGATGTTAAGTAAAATCTAACAGAACCCAATGTTTTATTCATCGAGGCCTGTAAATTAAGCAGTTAAATGAGCTAATGGTCTGAAAGGACATGCTTGAGAGAAAAGCCACCTGAAATGACTAGAAGGTAGCATTTTTACACAACAGTCTTGAAAGACGCTTACAAGCCTTCATGTAACAGCTGTATTTATATTAAGTGCATAGTAAGTAAACGAATCTTTAAATGTTAATATAATCAGCTCTCAGAACACATTATCACAACTAAATTTCACCCAAAGCTCAGCACTGCAAGCTGCAAAGCTGTATCTAATGTTCTTGAAAAGCTGATTTTAAATTCCTAACAGGATTCTTTACAGATTTTTTTCTAAAAATAAAATACCATAACGCACTTTTTGAAGAGTCCAGTGACATAAGCTGCATTATAATTAAGGGTGAGGTACATAGGAACACCTAGAAATACCATGGTTTTGCCCCGCTTTCTATCCACGGCATAGATGAGCATACTTTCCATCATACTTTTCCTGTACAAGGTTCTCTTTACCCTTCCTGTCAATGGTTGCTCTCTTCCATCAATTTCATTTAGAATTATACTATAGATCAATGCAGTTCAAGACCAGTGTGGCTCCTGTGAATGGTTGACTGCACATATATTCATTTAATAGAGCTCACACTATGACATGTATTGGCCAGCTGTATTTCCTCTCCACTTCAGCAGTTAATTTCATCAATAACTTATCTCATAGTCTGTTTCCCTTTTATCCAGAGAAAGGGACAGCTTTCTGCCAAGTCAGCTTTCTATAGTGATCACAACAGCAAAACTGAAACAATACAATCCTCTTCTCTACCTCAAATATTGCAGCAGATGTGACTCAGTAATTTTCATTATGAGATACTGATTTTAAACCTGGCTTAACTAAGCTATAAATATGAGAGATTAAACATGTAATTACAATGCATAAAACCAACTCTTCAACTCTACCAAGCCCTTGGACCTGTAAAAAACTAAATATTCCCCACTCTGTATCGCATGGAAGTCACATGTATTTTACCTTTGGAAGTTATTTGAGTCAGCAATACATAAAACTTCTAAAAACTTCTAAAGTCTTCTGAAAAAATGGCTATTGTAACTGCTCCATTTTCAAATGCCTGGAAGCACTGTCCCCTTCCTCCCCCAACCAAAAAAAAAAAAAATTATAAAAAAAAAGAGTAGCAAAAAATTGTGTTATGTACTTTAATAGAATGCTTTAGGTCAGTGTTAAAAATCTCTTTACATTTCTAACCTGAATATGACTTGCCAGGAAAAAAATCATCTGTATGAACATATATCATCTATATGAACATCAGGAATTGCTGTTCCCTCTGAAATTAGTGGGAAGTCTTGAACCTGACAATTATTAATTTTTTTTTTTATTTTTTAAGTTCTGTGCTGATTAAAGGAAAATCATGAAGTATTTTAAATAGTTACCAAAGCATAGCTGTCCACAAAAAAAAAAAAAAAAAAAAAAAAGAAAAAAAAAAGAAATTCCACACTGAAGGGAAGAAGTTTTTGTAAGGCCACATATAAAGGAGAATGAATAAAATTAAACTTTTTACTTTATACACTCAGATACTAATTTCCCATAACAATACACATTTATTCAAGATTAGCAGACAAAGTTGAACATTGTGAACGTCTGACATTTTTGTCTTTGTAGTGAACATTTTGGAATGATCTGAATTAGAATTTAAGGGTTGACAAGGAAATTACACTGGGTTTAAGGAGTTTAATCATTTATCAGAAGCAGTGCAAACTTCACATGAGTGCATTTAAACTAATTTACAAGTATGGAATATTCATTTAGCCTAAACAGTTGAAGACAGGCACAAATTAATTTAGAGCATGTCCATGCAAGGTGCTGTCCAAGTGCAACTAAACTGATTTTAAAAACCATTTCAATTGAAATCTGTGAAACTTGTATGCTTAGGGAAGTCCTAGAACTACAATTCAATCATTTGTCTTTTAGCAAAAGGTCAGCTATGAGACTTGTCCAGAATTTACCCTAAGATTGTTTTTCTGTGGAAAAGCAGCACCTGCAATACAAAGAATGAAAACCATTTTAAGAACATGAAGTAACTATGTAACTTTAAAATATAAGGATACATTACTAATTATTAACAGACTTCTTGTTTATGGGTATTTGAGATACTATGGATAAAAACCCCATCTTTTTTTAAAAGCTATTTTGTGTGCAAATAAAATGTTGAACAAAAATAACATTTATTTCAGTAGATTTTATGGTGTTTTGTAATAGAGATACAAAAGATCATATATGAAGGCACTAATTTAGGGCCATGATATGCCTGGCAAACAGAGTACTGTGCTAGACTTAAGGCTTTATTCAGAACATACAAGCAAGATGTACATGTCAAATGCTTCTGGGAATGGTTTATACTTACATGTGCATCTGTGACCTCTTTTGTGGGCCTGCCTACTCCAGAAATCCTGAAGAAAGAGGTCCTGAACAAAAATTTTCAAACTAAATACAGACTGTGCTTGCAATATGCTGGTCATATTTTAGCCTTAAACTTAAGAAAAAGTGAGGAAAAAGAAAAAGAGAAAAAATCCCCCTCTAAACCAGAAGGGGAAGCTTCTTAATGAAGGAAAAACCAATTATATCGTAAACCTTAATACTATGCATCATCATCAGATAGCCAAATCTTGTATTTTTTAATACTACCAAACTTGCTATTAATATTTTATGCATTGATTTTTTTATGCATAGAGATCTTTAATTTCCTGAAGTTATAGTAATGTACATAAACTTGTGCTACCACCAAGCACTGAAATTTTATTTTTATATACACACTACTGAGTATTAATTACAGTTTTTAATAGAGGCTTCTGAAAATAACCTATTACTTGCGATGTTACATATTTCCTTAAATATATTCTAGCTTACAGGGCTTTTAAAGTAAGTCACTTGGAAGAGAAAAATTGTTGTATATTAATTAAATTATTTATTCCTATTTTACTTGGAAATTATATTGTTTCTGATAAGGAGAAATTATCCACCTTTCTGTTTAAAACAATTAGCTTGATATTCAGCCTGTTTACCAAGTAGTTTCTAAAGAAAGTGTAGTTAACACAAGAAACCCCAAATAGCAGTATTGACAGACTAAGAGCAATCTACTTTGCAAAAGGAAAATATTTTAAAGTATTTTATATAAAATTGCATCACCCAATTTTCATGGAAGGCTATGATGAACAAACCACAACAACAAAAAAGTTCGGAATTGCATCAAGATTTAGTGTTTGCAATAACTGTTGAAAGAAAATCTCAAGTACCCTCGAGAAGTTGGTTTAGTTTGCTGCAGAAACAAAACTGAGTCATTTGTAGCATCTTCTACTACATGCGTTCCTGTGTGTAACATACACTGTTCTTTCAGAGATGTTTTAGACAAAGGCTCTTTAGTAGGAGACTGCAACAGAACTTTTCTTAGTAGCCTAAAAGTGTCCTACGATAATCAGACAAAAGCAAAATATCCTACCAGTTATAAAAGTATGGCCTCATTGATTTGTTAGGCAATGATACTCTTGAATAATCCAAGACTAGATAATTGAATCCAAATACTTCAAAATGCATACATCAACTCATGGAAATTCCCTGTAAACCAGA